CCAAGCACTCACAATCTAATAAATTGAGTACCTGTTTTACAACGTAAATTGAGGCATGACAACATAAAGTCAGTGCTGGTGATTGTATAGGACGCATGAAACATTATATTTCCAAATCCATCACTTCTCAGGAAACTAAGAAAATGGCATGTTCGTTGAGCCATTAACATTGCATAGAGCAGAGGTCACCAAACTTTTTGAAGACGACAACTGCTTCTTGGGTATCGATTAATGCAAAGGGATGCCAGTTCACGATACACAAATATGACTCAAATTACCTATTAAAGTTATGATGACATGTTTTTATTAATAATTAATGTCAGTCAGTTAAAAGAACACTGATCATGTTCGTGATTTTTCACAGTAATTACCAAACATTGAAATATCAATCTTGACACTTTATTTCTATAAATCTCTACCAAAGCTCACATTTTCAAATGATCACTTTTCCAACATTGCTAGGAAATCACAATACCCTTCGGACACCACGTTGGTGACCCCTGATATAAGCTCAAGCCATTTCCAACACTTTATAGTGGTCAACAATTAGAAATAACATACACGTGCGGGCACTGACCAGTACTGTTGATTTGTGAAAAAATATTGAATTGACCAAAATTTGACAGAGCGTACAAGCCCGCTGTCAGCGCTGTTTTTGTAATACAGTATTGAGTAAGCCTCTTTTTGTATGATCAAAGCATTGTACTTTCCAACTTGTACCCATCCATTTTCTGTAACTGCCTCTGCCTTTCAGGGTCGCAGGGATACTTTCAAAAAAGTCCAACATAAATGTCCTTTTAAATAATATATAATATTTTCCAAGGATCACGCTGTTTTCCTCACGGATGTCAGTATGCACTCCTGGCAGCTTTTTGAGGTGATGTGTGCTCACTGATGTCCACTGACATGTTTGTTCTGGTGCGGCAGATCCCACAGGACCTGGGCCAGGAGCCCAGTTCAATATTATCACTGTAAGAGTGTGAATCTTAGATCAATGGATCGTTGCTCCATAGTGCACATCAACGCCGCCACCACCCCCTCCTCCCACCCGCTTTAGAAGAGGGTGGAGGGATTTATTTGGTGGAACCGACTGCGGCACCGGCTCACTCCTACCCCCAACCCCAGATTTTAAGCCCAGCATTAGACTTAACTCCACCCTGCCGCGTTTCAGGACAGCAAAAAAACTTAATTAAACATCAAGAGAGAAGCAGGCGTTTGGGAAAGAGACGGGCATGCCCACTTCAGCGCCTTCAACAAGTGGCATTTCAGATCGTGGGGTCACAGCAGTTCCACATTCCTGAGAGAAAGGCTGCCCCATTCTACGAGGCTGTTGCACAATAGAGAAATAGGCCGGCTGACATGTTGTCTCAGCCAGGTTGGCTTTCAGCAGAGCAGGCCTGAGGAGCTTGATTAGGACATTGTAGACATACAAACATGTTAAACAGACTCAATTCTATTCATTTAAAATGTGATGATGTGTTTTTTTTCTCAACCTTTTATCCATCACTCTCTCTTGGTATATCTTTTACAGTCAGAACAGTCAGTGTGGATTTCTAAGAACATTGAAAAAATTATCGGATTAGTTTCATTTTATGATAGTCATACGCTAACTCCATATCATTGGGGCAAAAATGGGGTTGTGAAAGGTAATGTCAACAGAGGTCAAATAAGTAGTTTTCTCCCAAATACAAATTTCAGTCTTCCCATATCATTGGGGCAAAAATGGGGTTGTGAAAGGTTAATGTCAACAGAGGTCAAATAAGTTTTTTTCTCCCAAATACAAATTGCAGTCTTATTCAAATTACGGCATATGTTTTATTTCAAAGCAATTAAACTATATACTGCACACTTCAGGTCATCTGAGTTCAGTGTGTGTGGCCATACCCAAATCCCTGTTTTTTTCCCCACTTTATGTTCAGTATTTTTGATTTATTTCATTCATTAATACTGTAATACCACCAATGAAGTGTACTGCCTATCCGTCAAAGGATTAGTCAATATTAAATATGTTGTAACACTCGATGAAGACTCAAATTTCAAATGGGTTTTTGTATTTAATCCACAGTGTATTTGTTTTCATCCTGTTGATTTAAATTGGATTGTAAATGTTACCTTTGTTTCACTTTTGGGACCTGCTTTCTTTGTTTTAAAGGGTCTCCACACTCACATTTCTTTTGCGCTAAGTGGACAATTTACGGTCTTACCATGAGCACAGCGCGATGACGTTCACGTGAATGAATGTCCTATTCTTCTAGGTGTACTTTTGATCATTAATCCCGCATCACAAAAGAGTACGTTTGCTTTGCCAAGAGAACTGACGCAGTCCCAAACTATGACTCCAACTGACTGGCCACACAGGATGCGGAATCCATTTTTTTTCTGAAGCTTGACAAAAAGTTGACTTTAAGAAGAGTAGCTTTCTGATTTAGGGCAGTAACTATATATTTGCCAAAATAATGCATGAAATGAGGTTATTTGCTGTGGTTGAATGATGTTTCTCAATGTCCTCGAGAAGTAATTTCGAGGATTGTCGATTATGAAAAACGGTGCCATTGTATCCCAGATTTGAAAAAAAAAGCATCCAATCCCTTCAAGTCACTTTCAAAACTGACCCCGTTAGACTAACATATATCAGGCCAGTGACCTGTCTCATTTGATTGGCAGCCAACAGAAATCCATACGTGGACTGACCAACAGTGTTCCATTGAGCTACATTGTGACCCGTTAACCACTTAACTCCGAGAAATCTTGTTTGGCCAACAAGTTTGAAAGCGGGTGAGGACTCCACTGCGCCGTCTCTCTCCATTCATCCATTATCTGAACTGCTTATCATCACGAGGGTCCCGGGTGTGCTGGAGTCTATCCCAGCTGTCATCAAGCGGTAGGCGGGGGACACACTGAACTGGTTGCCAACCAATCGCAGGGCACATATAGTCGAACAACCATTTGCGCTCACAATTGCACCGAAGGACACTTTAGAGTGCCCAATCAACCTGTCATGCTTGTTTATGAATGTACTTGTAATCCGATTATATGTTTTTGTCAATAACTGTAACAGAACAAACTACAGCTACATTTTTTAGTATCCTGAATACGTAATGCTGGAACATGTATTCTGTTACTCTCCAAGCCTGTGTACAGAGCCACAAAGAAACACAGCGGCATACAAAGTTTTGTACATAAAGTAAAAGAGTTTTATATTATACTATGTTTGCTGTGCATGTAATTCAGAATGCCCAAATCAATTGACAAACTCACTCTAATGTATGATAGTGCAGTTGGTATAGGTCAGACCACCCTGTTTGTAAACGAGCCAAACAAAAGGGGTTTATCTCTCCGGCATAAGGGAGTCCACCACCATCACAACAGCGGCTTGTCTAAGTCGCCATACAAATTTGAGACTCTATTAAAGTAATTGAATATGTCCATGTTTTTGGAGGACACACGGGGCATGACTCCACGTGTACTTAAAACTAACTGTCAATGTTTTTTGCAGGAGGAAAAAAAATCGCTGTGTACCTCTGCTGAGATTGACCACTCTTCACTTCGCAGCATGCACCGCGGCATCTAATGCTGGACCTTTTCCGTAATGAGGAGGTTGATTATGATCATTGAAGTGTGTTTATGTTACTCATAGTTCATTGAAACTGTGTCTTAATGATCAATGTGCTATTCCAGTTGGGCATAGTAAAACCCTCCTTCATGTTGAAGCCTGCAACAAAACCAACCGAAGCTGACAGTATGTTGATGCTCTTCTCTCTAATGGAGCTTCACCAGCTGCTTGCCATCTAGTGGTGAAAAGTGTTATTACAACTTAAAATTGATATGGGAGAGCAAGCCGT